GGGTGGACATGGTAGAGTGGGAGGGTGCCTGGATTCAGACAGAAGGTTTGGAGCTTAAATCACTGGTCTGATGCCTTCGTTTTACAAAAGTGGAAACTGAGGCCTGAGGGGAAAGTGGACCCACCAGGGTCACAATGATGGTTTGAGGGTGGAGGAAGCAGAGCTAGGGCCATCGTTTTACAAAAGTGGAAACTGAGGCCTGAGGGGGAAGTGGACCCACAAGGGTCACAGTGATGGTCTGGGGGTGGAGGAAGCAGGGCCAGGGCCTGAATCCAGGGCTCCTGGCTCCCAGTCCCACCTGGAAGCAGACGGACAGATGTCCCTGTGTAACACTGTGGCAAGCCCAGATAGGACCCAGGAGCTTCGAGGGCCCAGCTCTGACTTCGGCCGCCTCCTTTCTCCCTTCCTTCTCTCCAGATCCCCTCACCCCCACTGTCCTTAGGCACTAATCCCCTCCCTCTATTGGTCTCTTTGAAGAACTCCTTTCAGTCTCATTTTAAAGCCAGTTTCAGGCAGTCCCAGGCAAGGACAGGTTGGATTTGGGGTTAGGCTGGAAGCTTATGCTCCATTCTAGAAAATTCCCAGAGCTGGAGGTGGAGAAAGATGGGAAGCAGCTGTGGATGTTTTGTCAGATAGTGAGCTCCTCAATCCCAGAGGTATTCAAGCAGAGCCAGATGAGCACCTGCCAGGTGATTCTCGCCTTACGGGTGAGGCCGAATAACATCCCCACTTCCAAAATCCTAGGAGCCTTTGGTATTTCCCAAAGAGGAGCTGAGAAGCAGTGCTCATCACTTCCCTGCTTCCCAGTGAGGAAACACATTTGCTCGCCAGGCACTGGGCTAGGAACTTTTGCAAATTCCCATTTAATTCTCCATGGCAATGTTGATTTGATGTCCCCATGTTGCAGATAGGAGAGCCACGGCTCAGAGAATCTATGTGATTTGTCCAAGGTCACACAGCAAGAAAGCAGAGGAGTCTGGGTGTGAGTTCAGACTAGTCTGATTCTCGGGGGCTGTCTCTGGGGCTTCCCTGGGGAAAGAGTGGAAAACGTTCCTCCCCTGGGCTGGGGCTTGGCAGGAGATGGTCTAGTCGCCCCCACAGCATGACACCCCCTCAGGGATCCTCTGGCTCCTCTGGGGGCTCCATTCTGAAGACAGATACCACCATGCATTGTAGGGGAGAACTCATTTCACAGATGGGAAGACTGAGGCTCAGAGACAAGGAATGACCTGCCTCAAGGTGCCCAGAGAGTTAGATTAGGGCCAGGCTTCCTGTCTCCTGGCCCAGGGCTCTGTCCCCTGTGCCAGTGAGTGAGGAGGGGCCTTTGGGCTGACGGCGGCGGCATGAGGTGTGAGGTCGGGGATGCAGAGGACTGAGAGAGAGCTGGCTGCAGGAGGAAAGTTATCAGCTCAGGCCGCAGGGAGAGGGGAGCAGAAGGGAAATGGCACACGTGTTACAGAGCCTGGTGAGGTCAGTGGGACCTGGCTGGCAGGGGAGGGTCTTGGAGACAGCTTCCTTGGGTGGCTCTCTGTGTGACCTTAGGTCAGTCCTTCACCCTCTCCGAGTAATGTCCCCCATCCATGTGAACCTGGGCTGAACGATCTATTTCCACAGAGTAGCTGTGCTTGGGCTGCTGTTGAAAAGCGCTTCTCCCAATGATGGGAGGACTCTGGGTCCTGGGCAAGGGCAGGCGGGAATCCTGGGGGTTGGCGTAACCTTTAAGCCTCCTCTGCGGACTCAGCCCTCCTTGGGGTGTGGGGGATCGCCAGGCACAGCCCTTCTCCTTTTCATCTTTATTTTTCTCCTGTTCCCTCTTCCCCTTGCTACGTGGGCTGATCGCTGCTCAAACTTTTAATTCAGATGGTAATTGAAATAATAATATGGGCTGAGGCCCCTCTGCTTGTGACGCTGCAGCTGGTGGAGCTCGGCTATGAATAGACCTTGAGTCACACACGCGCGCTCCTGCAGGCGCGCACACGGGCGCTCACGGGGTGGTGGGTGGGGTGCAGCATGGGGAGCAGGGGTGGGCTCACGCTCCGGCTTGCTCTGGTCTTGGCCCCCCACTCCCAAAGGTCTTGACCAGTCCTGGCCCCACAGCCCAACACGGGGTCCCTGTCATGAACCTGGAAGACTTTGGACATAGATGGTTCTCATTTACAGAAGGGGAAACTGAGGCTCAGCAAGGGGAAGTGGCTGGCTGGAAACAGGCTGGATTTGAATGGATGGGTTTTGCCTGATTCTAAGACCACACAAGCTGGGAAACTGGTGGGGAGAAGTGCTAGGGTGTGACCCCTGCCCCTCCCTCTGCACCCCTTGCCCCACCTGCTCACAGCCCCCTCTCAGCCTGTGCGTGCATGCTCAGGCACAGACACAGACACAGGCACACGCGCATGTGCAGGCATGAGGGCTGCTCAGATGGCTGGTGCCGGTGCTTGGTGGCTGGGGTGAGAGCAGTGTTCTCGGGGTATTGCTGCAGGAGGGAGGCTGAGTGCCAGGCTCTGCACTGGGCTTCATATTCATGATTTCACTTAATTCTCCACCACCCTGGGAGAACCATCACCCCCACTTCTCAGATGAGAATACTGAGGCTCAGAGAGAAGCAAGGATTGGTTCCAGGCCCCTGGGTAGAAACAGCCACGTATGCTTTGTCTACTGTGCACCCAGAGCCAGCCCCTCCAGGACCCTCATTGGCCACCTGAAGGGAGGTGCGTACATGTCTGCCAGCCTGGGCCTCCCCTTTCCCTCCCTGCAACAGCTCACCCACTCCTCCCTGTGGCTGCTGGCCGGTCCCTGACCAGCCCTGCTGCCAACAGCTGGGACGTCTGGCTTCGGCAGGCAGGGGAGGGTGAGGTGCCCCAGAGAGACATTGGCAGGTCAAGAGGTCTTTAGGGGCTACCAGGGAAGGGGGTCCTTGGTGTTCCCGACCCCAGCAGGAGCTGTGAAGGGAGAAGGCAGCGTTGTCATGGTGACCTATCAGCTGGGAGTTTTGGTCTAGGCCTGTGTGGGCCCAGTGGGAGGCCCCCAGCAGGGCAGAGGGGAGATGGGGCATGGGAGGTGCAGTTGGGCGGAGGAGCTCCCTGGGACTGGGATGGAGGAGAAGCCCCCACCAAGCTCCACCCAGCAGTTCCTGTCTGCCCCTGCATTGGCCTTATCTCCATTACCTCTCCTGGGAGATGGAGAAACCGAGTCCAGAGACCACCGGGGTTTGCCCAGGGTCACACAGCAATGGTGGCAGAGCCTGTCAACCCGGAGCTGCTCCTGACTCTTCTGTGTCCTGATGGCCCCCAGGGCTGCCGGCCCCTCCTCTCTCTGACACTCCCCAGAGCTATGGGGTTTGGGGGAGGGGAGCAGGGTCTGGGCCTCTTTAAGTGCCCTCTCCCAAGAAAATCCCCAGATGGGAGCGAGGGGAAGGGCAGCAGTCCCTGGTCACAGCAGTAGGAAGGGTGGCCTGAGTCAGGGGCCTGGGATCGAATCCCAGCTCAGCCCTCACTGGCTCCGCATGACCTCGGCTAGGCCACTGTTCATCTGGGGGCCTCTCTTTGCCCCTCTGTGTATTGGGGGCCACCCATGGGGATAGTGGGGCGTGTTCAGCCTTTTCCTGTTTTGCCTGTCCTGGGAGAAGCTCATGCGCCAGCGACCTAGGCTGCAGGGATGGGAGGGGTTTTTTTGTTTTTTGTTTGTTTGTTTGTTTGTTTGTGATGGAGTCTCACTGTGTCTCTCAGGCTGGAGTGCAGTGGTGCAATCTCGGCTCACTGCAACCTCCGCCTCCCAGATTCAAGTGATTCTTCTGCCTCAGCCTCCTGAGTAACTGGGACTACAGGCGTCTGCCACCACGCCCGGCTAATTTTTGTATTTTTAGTAGAGACGAGGTTTCACCGTGTTGGTCAGGCTGGTCTTGAACTCCTGACCTTGTGATCTGCCTGCCTCAGCCTCCCAAAGTGCTGGGATTACAGGGATGAGCCACTGCACCCAGCCGGGAGGGTTCTTTAGCTAGGCCATGGGGTCAGGGGTGCGTGTGCTGTGAGGAGCTGACCCCATTTTACTGATGGGGAGATTCAGGCCTAGGTGAAGGGCGTGCCCATCTTCAAGCTGGTGGCAGAGTTAGCCCCTGGGACACCTCAGTGAAGCTTTCCCCACCCCGGTGCAGCTCCTCTCCCAGCCCCCACCCTAGACTCCCCCAGGAGCCTCCCCTCTCCACATAGGCCTGAGAAGCCCAGGACCCTCTGCCCTGTGAGTGTGAAGGTACCACTCAGCCTGGGAGACAGATGGGATGGGGTCCGCAATTAGGGGTTCCCTGGGGCCATACAGGGGAGGTGGTGGGCACGGGCTGGAGGGGCCCTGGCTGGGGGTGAAATGGAGCAGGCAGAGGGGCTTTGGGCATCCTTCAAACCTCGTGCCCATGGATACCCTTCTGCAGTTATCCTGACAAATGGGCCTCATGTCCCTCCTCACTGTTCCTCACGGGGAGCTCCCCATCTCCGGGGAAGCCCACTCCCGCCTGGAAGGCTCTGCTGATTGATCCCTGCCTCCCTCTGTCCTTCGCGCTGCCTCTGGGGCAGAGAGACCCAGCCTGCTCTCAGCAAGACAGGAGGAGTGGCCCGCCTCCCCCACCTCTACCCCAAGGCTCCTCCAGCCTCAGTTGTCCCAGGTAAGGCCCATGACTGGGACACAGAAGATCTGGGTTCCTGTCCAGCTCCACCCCTGAGCAGCTGTGGAATCTGGGGCAGCTTTTTCACCTGTGAGCCTTCATCCCCTGCCCTGTAAGGGTGGACTTTTGCCTCTGTTTCTTTTTTTTTTTTTTTTTTGAGATGGAGTCTCACTCTGTTGCTCAAGCTGGAGTGCAGTGGCGCGATCTCAGCTTACTGCAACCTCTGCCTCCTGGTTCAAGTAATTCTCTTGCCTCAGCCTCCTGAGTAGCTGGGACTACAAGTGCGCACCACCATGCCGGGCTAATTTTTGCATTTTTAGTAGAGACAGGGTTTTACCATGTGGGCCAGGCTGGTCTTGAACTTCTGACCTCATGTGATCCACCCACCTCGGCCTCCCAAAGCGCTGGGATTGTAGGTATGAGCCATCGCGCCTGGCCCTTTGTGTCTGTTTCTGAGGGTGACTGGGAAGATCCTGTGAGCCTGTGAGTGAATGAATGTATCATAGCTTGTTGATATGAACTACTTCGTGGCCCAACCACTCAAGGGCACTGCTGGGCCTGATTTCCAGACCCCCATCACCAGCCACTGCTGTGGGGTACCACTTCTCTGAACAGCCAAGCCTCCCCCGGCCCTCCCTCCCCCAGGCCTCCAGGACTGCTTGGGTGGGGCAGGGCTGGCTGAGTGCCAGCCCCGTCATGAGGCTGCAGAGTCTGAGCCCACTTGACCTTGGAAAGGGCCTCTCTCTGGCTGGGCTCCAAGGCTGCCCCCAAGAGACACAGGGTAGTGGCTGGGCAGCAGAGAGAACTGGGTGGGGCAGAGAGAGAACCGCTTGCCAGAGCTGTCCTGGGTCCCTGAGACAACGGGCTAGAGGACAGAGGAGAACGACCAGCCAGCCACGGGAGGGGCTCCGCTTGGCAGCTGCATCAGTAGCCTGGCAGAGCCTACTCCTCACAGTCAAGTAGGCTGCCTGAGAAGCGGGTGAGCGCCCTGTCCTGGGAGATGTGTAAGCAACTGCTCAATGGCCTCTGTTAGGGGGGCAGGCAGGGCTCTAATACAAGACCAGGGGAATAAATTGGACCCAGAACCTAAAGAATCCCGGCTATTTGGGCTGCAGAGTGGCAGTCCTGTGAGTTGGGGGGCTCTAACAGACTTTTCCCAGTATTCCCCCGTTACATCCAACAATTGCCCCCATAGTTGTGCATCACAAAGCCCGGGGTCCAAGCACCTCCAGTCACAGCTTCAAGACACACGCTGGATCCCGTTTCACAGCTCCTAACCCCCACTCAGGCTAGTGCTTTAAAAATTGCACACAGGTCCTGCCCCATTAGTGGGCTGGGAAATTGATTCAGTGAGTTGCACTACTTGTTTTCTGGAAATGAAATTAAAAAGAAAATTTCAAAATACTATGCATGTAGTGAGGGTAAATACTATTTTGTGACGCTCTTACTTCAGCTTTAAATATATAACCGGGTGCAGTGGCTCACGCCTGTAATCCCAGCACGTTGGGAGGCCGAGGCGGGAGGATGGCAAGAGCCCAGAAGGTTGCAATTGAGCTGTGATCGCATCACTGCACTCCAGCCTGGGCATTGGAGCAAGACTCTATATCTAAAAAATAAATATAAAGTACGTTAAAATAACAAACAGGATGTTTGCTTTTACTGTGGATTTTGGTCAAAAAGCTTGAAAGCTACTGTCCTGTATAGAAATCCAGGAGGTGCCCCATAGAGCTCTGACGCATGGGTTCCTATTTCCCTGGATGTTTGGTTCCTAAAAATGTAAGTGCCACGACTTCCAGGATGCTGCTGTCCTGCCCTCAGAAGTAGCCTGTCCCTTGCTCAGTGGACCACCCAGGTCCAGGGCCCCACGCTCCTCCAGAGTCACCACCTCTCCCCAGGGCCTAGATCCCAGGCTGGGCCAAATTCCCTGCTTTCCACTCAGCCCAGGCCCAGCCCTGCTCTGTCCTTGTGCTCTCCTGCTTGCCCCCATCTTCCTGGGACCTTCTCTCTAGGCCTTTTCACACACACACACCTGCACACACACGCATGCATGCACACATGGGTGCATGGAGCTCAGCAAAGCAGGTTTGTGACTTACCTGTTTCCCTTCAGCATACAGTAGGTGCTCAACAAATGTTCACTCAATTATTTACAGAGCGCCCTCCGAGGCAAGGCACTCTGCTGTGTTGAGACACATCTGGCACCTGGCAGGAAGGCAGATCCTATGCCAGCTCAGGGGACGTTTAGGGTGATGAATGAATGGATGGATGGGGGTTGGCTGGAGCTGGAGATTCTCTGGCCTGAGGAGCCAGTGGGGAGGTGGTCAGAAGTAAAGAGGTGCACGCAGCCCGTGGCCCCCCATGGCAGGCATTCTGTTAGTGACAATCCCTTGGGGCTGTGGCCCAGCACTGGGTCATGGGCAGGGGCTGACTCTTCCTCCCGCTGTCTCTGGTCCTTCTGAGGCCTCTGTCTGCCGTGCCTTCTCCCACTAGGTCCTGTACACATGTCCCTGCCACCCATCCTTGGGTGAAGCCAGGACATCCTCCCCTGAGCCCCTGACACCTGGGGGACGCCTGAGAAGAGAAGCCCATGCTCCGTGGAGGGTGAGGCAGAGACTTGAGCCCTCTGACATCCTGTCCTCTCTCCCCTCTGTTCATGGCCACTGTGCTCTTGTACAGTGACACAGAGGGTCTTCTGGTCCCTGCTCAGAGGCCACCTCCACTGGGAAGTTCTCCCTGACTACTGTGTCAAAAATAGCTTCTCCTTGGTCACGATCTGTCACATGGCCCAGTTAGACCCTTCCCGGGAATTGTGACGGGCTGGGTTATCTTGTCAGTCGTTAGATGTTTATGAAGCAGCTACTCTGTGCCAGGCTCTGGGAGTTGGGGTGAAGTAGGGAGGCAAGGTTCCTGCCCTTAATGAGGTTGCAAATGAAACTGCTTTGGTTGCTGAGGGCTGCCAGGAAGATCTGAGAGCTGGATGGGGAGGGCGGGCCTCGGGGCCTCTTGGGACAGGCAGCCTTTGAGTCAAGATCTGAATGGCAGGAAGGCCCGAGTGGTGGAGTCTTGGAGAAGAGAATTTCAACCAGAAAGAACAGCGAGAGCAAAGGCCCAGCGATGTGAACAAACTTGGTGCGTTAAAGGGACGGGAAGGAAGGTCTTTTCCGGTGGATGGGGAGTGGAGAGGGTGAGGTCAGAGAGGGCAGGACCTCCCACGAGGCCAGGCATTCATCCCGAGTGCCCTGGGGAGACCAAGAGCTCTGATCGGGGAGTGATGTGGAGATGGACTGCGGGAGGTGGGTGGAGGCTGTGGGAGGAGGCAGCAGGCAGAGGCTGCGGGCTGCAATAGTGATGTGGCTTTGGGGTGGATGACTGGGTGAGGGGATGCATCCGGGGCCCCGAGGTGCACCTGCTTTGGGCAAGCTCCCGAGTCCGCTGTGGGATGATGATAATAGCACCTGCCTTGCAGGTGTGGACCAGTGAGTGCTTGGCCCTCAGTGAACACTAAGTGCGTGTTAGTTATTATCCCAGTTATTGCGGTTGGGCTTAGGGAAGGCTGGAGAATGACGCCCAGATGTCAGGCCTGAGCGACCTCCTGGGAGGAGTCACAGACTGAGATGGGGAAGGCAGGAGAGGGGAGGACGGGGGCATGGCTTGGGCTTGGCAGTACCGGGTTCGCGGTGCCTCTTTACTGTCCAGCAGACACAGGAGCAGGTGCCAAGTGGGCTTGTAGCTGCCTGTGGGGAGACGCAGGCCGGGTGGTATTTTAAGCCACAGGACTGGATGAGATCACAGGGAGGACTGGGGAGAAGGGAAGGCAGGTGGGCTGGCTGAGCTGGGCACGGCATGGTGTAGGGGCATGGAGAGGCCAGAGGCAGGAGAGCAAGGGGCGACCTGGAGAGGGACCCTCAGGCCTGGAGGACTCAAGGAGAAAGACGAGGGTCAGTCCAGAGCCTCCATCAGAGCTGCTGAGAGGGAAGGGGGCGCAGAGGAGCCCTGGAGGGGGCTGAGGGGAGACTAGGAGGTGAGGAAGAGTGGAGAGTAAGTCATCCCCTTCAAGAAGGGCTGCAGGCCGGGCACGGTGGCTCATGCCTGTAATCCCAACACTGTGAGAGGCTAAGGCGGGAGGATCACTTGAGCCCAGGAGTTCAAGATCAGCCTGGGTAACAGGGAGGGCCTGTCTCTACAAAAAATTAAAAAATTAGCCAGGCACGACGACACATACCTGAAGTCCCAGCTCTTCGGGAGGATCGCTTCGACCTGGGAAGTCAAGGCTACAGTGAGCCGTGATAGTGCCACTGCACTCCAGCCTGGGTGACAAAGCGAGACCCTGCCTCAAAAAATAAAAAAAGAAAGTCTTCTGCACTTTACAGTTTACAAACCCCTGCCCACACTGTTCGCCTTGGCAGCATGCCTGTACACTGGGTGTTATTCCTTCCCATTTTACGGATGTGACTCAGAGAGGTTAAGAAATTTTCCCAAAGCCACGCAGCCCATAGGTGAAGTGTTCTCAGACTTTCGGGGTCATAGTCCTTTTTGACAACCTTATGAATGCTATGACCATTCTCTGGAAAATATGCATGTGTACACATTAATTTTAAAACTTCATGTGCATTTCCCCACAGGTAATACATTCATACGGTTCTAAAATTCAAAAAGACACAAACGGGAATACAGTGACAGTTCTTCCTCCTACCCTGTCCCCAGCCACCTGCTTTCCCTCCCTGGAGCAGCCAATGTCACCAGCTTCCTGGGTCACCATCCACAGACAAGCAGAGACAAGCAAATATGTGTATCTATAAATTTCTTCTCTCTCCTTTTTTACACAAATGGTAGCTACTATACTCACCGCTCATCACTGTTGCCTTTTTTTGCTTAAAAATACATCTTGAAGACCTACATTGCTCCTCACAGAGCTCCCTCCTGGCTTTTTCTGTCTGTGTGCTGTGCCATTCGTGGATGGGCATTTGGGCCGCTTCCAAGCGGCGCTACTGAAGGCAAGGCTGCTCGTTCCCCACGTGTGAGTCTTGGGCTGGAGTCCCAGGAGGGCCCAGCAGGCGATACCACCCAGTGGCCTCCGCTGGATAAGCGAGGGAGTGGGGCTCGAACTCAGCCCTGACTGTTCCTCACTCCTCCCTGCTCCCGCGCCACTTCTTTAGGGGGCACCTGCTGGGCCCAGCCGAGCATCCCAGGGAAATCCTGTGTGTGTGTGAGTGGGGGACATTAGCCCCCATCCCCCAAGGTGCTGGGAGACACCCCCCACCAGCCAGCAGCCCCAGCTCCTGGAGTCTTGTTTGCTGACAGCTGAGGATGAGGCAATGGGATGGGGGAGCAGCAACCACCACCTCACCCCCGCCCCCAGCCCCACCCAGGCTGGAGTGCAGGAGTGAGGGCCAGATGATGATCACACCTGGGCTGTGCCGAGGTCACCTCTGCTGCAACTTCCCTGACCCCCGCCCAGCACAGCTCCCGGCCCCTCCCCAGCACCTCCCCTTCTGCCCGGCCCAGGAGGAGATTTCGCCCTTTCTGGCTGGGGAGGGAGGGAAGCCAAGTGGAGGAGGGACTTGTGGCTGCCGAGCTCAGTCCTCAGGTGCTCCAGGCTGGGCAGGGCCTACCGGGTGACTCTGCTGAGAGCTCCCTGCCCTGGCTGTGAGCCAGCCTCCCTCCCCTGCTGCTCCTGCTCTCTGGCCTGTCCCCCTCATCCGCTCCTCAGCTTCTCTCCCATCTGTGGGGCTGCTGGGGCCAGGGCTGAGACCCTCTCTCCTTTTCCATGCCCTTGGCCCAGGTGGTCTTGCCCACCCTCACAACTCAACCTGTCACCAGCGTTCACCATCTCATGCACCCAGCTCTGCCCGCTCGCTCTCTGGAGACTCAGGATCTGACGTGGGGTAGACATCTGCATTTGGACATTCAAAGCCACTGCACACAGTAAACCGTCACTCCTAAAACCTGGCCCCGTTTCAGTCTTCCGCCACTACTGGCCACTCTCGCCAACCCCCTTCCACCCCCAAACCCTGTGGACTCTTCACCCAGAATGCGTGTGTCCCAGATTCATCTCCTCTTGAGCTCCATGGCCGCCATCCTGGTAGCTCCAAGCTACCATCATGGTCTTCTCACCAGCCTAATACACTTCATCACAGCGACTGGCGCTGCGCTCTGGACAGTGCAGGCTTCAAAGGCCGGCTGAGACAAGGGCCAGGGTGCCACTGGGATTATATCGGGAATGTTTATCTTTCATTTTTATTCATTATTATTACTATTATTATTTGAGATAGAGTCTCATTCTGTTGCCCAGGCTGGAGTGCAGTGGCAAGATCTTGGCTCATTGCAACCTCTGCCTCCTGGGTTCAAGCGATTCTCCTGCCTTAGCTTCCTGAGTAGCTGGGATTACAGGCAGGTGCCACCATGCCTGGCTAATTTTTGCATTTTCAGTAGAGATGGTGTTTTACCATGTTGGCCAGGCTGGTCTCAAATTCCTGACCTCAGGTGATTTACCTGCATCAGCCTCTCAAGGTGCTGGGATTACAGGTGTGAGCCACCATGCCCAGCCCATTTTTTACGTTTTAGGGAAAAAGTTTCACTATGTTGCCGAGGCTGATCTGAAACTCCTGGGCTCAGGCAATCCACCTGCCTCAGCCTCCTAAAGTGGTGGAATTACAGGCATGAGCCAATACACCTGGCTAGAAATGTTGTATTTCCTTTTTTTTTTTTTGAGACGGAGTCTTGCTCTGTCACCCAGGCTGGAGTGCAGTGGCGCGATCTCAGCTTACTGCAAGCTCCGCCTCCCGGGTTCACGCCATTGTCCTGCCTCAGCCTCCCAAGTAGCTGAGACTACAGGCACCCACCACCAGGCCTGACTAATTTTTTATATTTTTTAGTAGAGACGGGGTTTCACCATGTTAACCAGGATGGTCTCAATCTCTTGACCTTGCGATCCGCCCGTCTCGGCCTCCCAAAGTGCTGGGATTACAGGCATGAGCCACTGCGCCCACCCAGAATGTTGTATTTCTTAAGCCTGGTGGTAGATACACAAGGCTTTATTTAATTTAATTTAATTTATTTATTTGAGACAGAGTCTCACTCTGTCACCCAGGCTAGCTAGAGTGCAATGGCATGACCTTGGCTCACTATAACCTCCGCCTCCTGGATTTAAGCGATTCTCCTGCCTCAGCCTCCTGAGTAGTTGAGATTACAGATGCCCACCACCATGCCTGGCTAGTTTTTGTATTTTTAGTAGAGATGGGGTTTCACCATGTTGGCCAGGCTGGTCTCGATCTCCTGACCTCATGATCTGCCCGCCTCGGCCTCCCAAAGTGTTGGGATTGCAACTTACAGGTCCAAGCAATCCTCTCACCTCAACCTCCTGAGTAGCTGGGAGTATAGGCATGCACTAGCACACTCAGCTAACTTACATTTTTTGTAGAGATGGCGTTTTACCATGTTGCCCAGCATGGTCTTGGATTCATGGCCTCACGTGATCCTTCTGCCTCTGCCTCCCAAAGTGCTAGGACTATGGGTGTGAGCCACCATGCTCAGTTGGGCCTCCAAGAGATATCAAGTGATCCATTCACCTTGGCCTCTCAAAGTGCTGGGACATTTTACAACGTGGCAACTGGCGCCTGGCCAAAACGCGTTATTGTATTAGTCCTTATTCCTATTTGTCTTAAATATTTCACATGGAAATTTAAAACCAGACCAGGCAAAGCCTGACAGCCCGCCAGCCCTGAGGGTGACATCCGCAGCCCTTGCCACCTCCTGCCTCTGTGGCCTCATCCTGGTCCACTCACTCCCAGGCTCACTTCACGGCCACAACTTGGCCTTCCTGCAGCTTCTCAACACCAAACTCAGACTTTTGGAGCTCCTTTCCTTCCCTTCCCCTTCCCCTTCCCCTTTCCCTTTCCTTTCCCTTTCTTTTCCTTTCCTTTCCATCTTGCTCTGTCGCCAGGCTGGAGTGCAAAGGCGCGATCTCAGCTCATTGCAGCCTCTGCCTCCTGGGTTCCAGCGATTCTCCTGCCTCAGCCTCCCAAATAGCTGGGAGTACAGATGCCACCAGCATGCCCAGCTAATTTTTTGTATTTTTAGTAGAGACGGGGTTTCACCGTGTTAGCCAGGATGGTCTCGATCTCCTGACT